AATAAGTTATCATTAGCATATATTACATACAGTATACTTAAGTTACATATTTTTATTGTCATTTATGTAGATACCATATAAAAATATATGTAGGTTCCCGAATTGAGGGAAAAATAAAATTAGTAAATTGACGATGTTAATGAATACGTGTTACATACATACGACCAATTGTGCCTGCGGAACGTAGTGATACTTGCCAGTATCACTGTTGCCACTCTGATTTAGGTATCTCCAAAACATGCGTATGTATATTTGCGACATGTCCAGTTTTTCCAAAAAAAAACAGGCAACCATTTTGGACGACCTTCTTGGAGTGATCAACGACCTCGATTGAATTCACCATACCATCGATAAACATTGTTCCTTAGTGGAGCTTCATTGCCAGAAATAAGTGCATCGATGCACTGTTGCTGAGTCAATCGACGTCGAGTAACATCAAAAATATCAAACTTTACGATAAAGTTGTAAGTTGCCAGATTGCCAGATTAGGGTTGCTTACAATTTTCACCTCTTAAAGGGTTCTACGTTTTCAGTCAGCAGACTATTTCGGAATTTCACCAAATTTTTTAGCAAATTGTCTTTCCGTGCAGCCTATATCACTTCCATAAAAGTCGGTAGACACGATATATTAAAAAGTAATAAAGCGATTTTGTTCAAATTTGCTAATAGCTTTGAAATAACATTATCTATTATATTATATTATATAATATATTATATTTTTTATTACGACTAATTTCTTCGAGCCAATAGATGGCGAAAATTTTACCAAAAAATATGGTTTTTTTTAAATTCTGTCAAAAATTAAAATTTTAATTTACTACGAGATTTAATTAAAGAAAAAAATACCAATTTTGGAAATGAAGATAATTAAAACAAGTAAGGAAAGGCTAAGTTCGGATGTAACCGAACATTTCATACTCTTGTAACTTGCAAGGGACAAAGGCGGAGGAACAACTTTGGCAAAACTTTATATCAAACGAAGGAAAGTATCGCCGTGATTTCATTCATTTAAGGAAAGAGTATACACTGTTATTAAAAAACTATTCTTTCTGAATTTCATTAAAATTTCTTACATACTTGCATTGGCCGACAGATGCGGTTTAAAGTGAACCGGAAGCTCGAAAATATTTATGTTAGGTACATGGGGCTAAAGGAAGATATGATCTGCTTTTACCCATTTTTAGCACAAGTTAATGTGGGATTTTTAAACGTAAGATGAAATACCTTGAGGGACTTTATTGCTTTTTGATTTGTATACGGTAAAGTGAAAGAATCAAATGGAATTCAGCAGTGTTTAATAGGAATGTTCGTGTAACCTCACACACCAAATTTTGAAATCGGTCGAGTAGTTCATGAGATATAGAATTTAGCAAAAGAATCGTAAAAAGCCCTTCTCTATCATCCTGGTTGTGAAATTTAATCACTTAGGTGAACAAAACTATTATACTCTTAGCAACATGTTGTAAGAGTATAAAAAGGTTGCGTATTATCCAAAGAAAACGAATGGTTTACAATCAAATTTGGTATCTTATTAACGTCTGTATATTAAAGAACATAGTTTCATTACTGCATTTGGCTAATCAGAAATATTCATATTAAAGAAAGATATTCACTTAATTTAATTAAAATATAACGCATTTTGGCCAAAAAAATGTTTTAAAATCAGATAGAAAATAAATATAATGATTTCCATAGGCAAGGCGTATATTGGCCCTAAGAAAAGATCTGGACTGATTGCATTTAACGTTTTATGACGATAACTCGCACACTGACGGTCATATTCGACATAAAGTCTGGTTGAATAATGTAAATCTTTATATATAGTATATGGAATTTGGGGTAATTCGTGGACCAATTTAATAAATTTTCAGAATTAAGCTGTAGCATATCCACTATTATATGTTCACTTAATATTACTATTATCCATCTTATGTTACTTATTGTTATGTCGGTATAAATTCTACTGAAAGTTTATACATATGTGGGCTAGTAGTGTCGGGATATGTCGACGCGTGGAAGAAAGACAATTAGTTTTTGTTTCAATGTTATAAAATTCAATATTTTAATATATTAAGGGTTTAAATTGGATTGGTTAGATACATAAGTATGCATGTATGTACAATAATTGTTAATTGTTTTATGTCTTTTTCAAATAATTCAATGTTAGTGATATTATATTTATTCGTATATTAACCTGTTGTGTGTTGGGTTATGTCCTTCGGGAATGCCTTTAGATTTTGTTGTGGAATAATGTTGGGTGTATCCGTGCATAGTTTATCCGTGTTATTTTGTATTGTATTGAGGTTCACTTATTATTATGTTATTTATGTTCACCAATGCTTGTTAATTTCGTGTTTTTTATGTTTGCTAACCTTAAAACTGGAGAGTTGGGGTGTCCCCTTTTTTAGTGTTCGCTTTAAAAAATCGCAGGAAAATTTTTTTCTTTTTTTGTATATCGTTTTTGGTTTTCTTCAGTATTTGTTAAGACTAAACATCTCGCCCGTCTTCCAATATCTGCGAAATAAATTTGGATTAGTGTGGTAAGATTTGATAAATTTTGATGTGAGTGATTTGAGTAAACGCAGAAATATACTTTGAGTTGTTGTGTGTTAAGGAGTGCCAGTTAGAGAGTTCAGCCGAATGTTGAATTCTGCGATACACCGTGCCATTGTCTGGGTTGAACAATCTATTTCTGAATATTTATGCGTATATATTAGCTCCAATCTCTTACATAAGTTCTGCTTGGCTATGGAACTGAATATCGCTCATAGGGGTTTCCTTTGCTATGATTGAATTACATTCTATTTTGGAATTTGCCATCATGACGTTAGCCAATTTGAATGTAAAAAATGCAATAAGTGTTCCGATATTTGATAGGCAATTTTAATTTTTTTCACTAGTTCGGCCGTTATATTTGTAATCTGTAAGGTCCGGTTTAAGAGTGCTCGAACTTTATGCCCCACACCATCGTTTTAAACCCATTACTGGTTGGGGTATTAGTATCTGTTTAGCCAGTAAGGATATTAGTTGGGTCTCTACGGAAAGTGTTTGATATTTTGCTTTCTCACTAACCATTATATCGTTTGCTGGATACAGCCTTGGACCAGGGCCGGCCTGTTATAATTTATGGCCTTAGGCAAATGCCAAATTCTGCGCCCCTTCTAAGTTTATTTTGCCGTAACAAGAAAATGTATAACTTTTAAAAATTATTCAGGCCATTTTATTAAAAATAAAACTCAAATTTTACAGGTTTAATATAATTAAAAAAAAATTATTTAATTAGCAGTACAACTTTAGTTGGGATTTACGTGAGTACCTGTCGTAGACGGCCTAACCTCACGGTGCTCAAAAGCACAACATATCAATACATTGCGTTGATCAGCGCTCCAAACAATCCGAGCTATTTGCAAGCATTTATTTGGATACCAATCGGAAGTGTGAAAGGGACACCTTTTCAACCTTGGTCGGGTTCGAGGCCGACCTAAAACCTCTTCCGTTCTTCGGGTACGGAACCCAGTTGCTTCTGCAACTTCTTTTTTGAACTGAATTTTCAGTTCTCCCAGCATTAAGATTTAAACCACAGCCACCACGAATCTTAAACAAAGGCCAAACCCAATGAGCAGATTGGACCGAAGTCCAAGGGCATTCTGCTGCCCGTGGTACCAGAGTTAAGTCTCCGGTAAGACTGGTTAGCCTAAGCTACTGCCAGTTGAGCACCCATCAAGTCAATGACTAGTGACATTTGTAGCTTGAGCTTCAAATGTCTTTTTATTTGGAATGTCATTTAAAGTCTATAATATCAGTTCAAGTTGAGTATTGTAGCACTATTTCTGACATAACTTTGCTGTGGCAAAGCTTAATAACAGTCATAGTGCATTTGAATTTTAGTCGCCTCTTACGACAGGCACACCTTACCATGGGCAAATTTTAACCCCTGCCCGCTGGGGGAATAAGTAGAACAATTAAACAAGTTTAAATATTTTCATCTTATTTTAGATTCAAGTTGAGAGCAGTATTCTCTGTGTATCAGAGTATTATGTTTTTTTGTTACATTTACGACATGAGTATTTGCTCATCCAGTTCTTGAAGCTATGCGATATGCCAAAGAAGTTATGGCATTAGCCATATTTTTTGCTTGTGGAAACTTTTTTTGGCATTTGAGGGTCCAGACATCGGCGTTTCAGACACGTTAACATATACATGGTCGTATTTCTTTTCATCTGCTGTTTTAACTATACCTGGGTGGAATGAGGGTTTTCTATTGAGGCCTTGAAATTTTCTACAGATTCGAGGACTTTATATTTGTGAGTCATGAACTGTCGAAATTTGACCACGTCTGCTAGGTAAATTTGTTTTTTAAAATAAGGCAAGTCGCTTATAATTAACAAAATCTTTTTTAAGCTATTGCATAGTTTCTATCGCAGGCTTTGAGCTCGGGAACTGAATCGAGAAATTCCGTAACGGAAATGAACTTTATGGGCTCAGTGTTTGCATACTTTAAGGTGTATCGTATTTCGTATATCTCAATCGGAACAAATCAATTGAAGAGACATTAGGGTGATTCAAAGACAATTTTTTTAATGGCAAATAAAAATTCCGTTACGAAAAGAAACACGCGTAATATTTGTATATCTGTGTACATGCAACATATGTATGTAAATATGTACACTAATTGATTCATGTGAAATATCAGAATATTATCTAGAATGTTTCCTATTTAAATCCCTTTTAATTTTTTTAATAAGTTAACAGGTTCAGCATCTACCTTCTTAGTTTTCTTTTGTTTAAGAGTTAACGGAGAATTTGTATAGCAGCTTTTTATTTAGATGTCTTAAATAGCCATAGCCATACTCTTCACGTTGTTTTATGGTTTTATGCATGCTTTTTAAAGAAATTTTCAAAATTGTGGCCCAGGGTTTATTTGAGACACTTCCAAACATAATCCAAAAATGCGTTCGAAAACCCAAGTAACATTCAATGTTATTGTTCTTTTATAATACTATTAAACAATTATAATCTACTTAATCTACTTTTTAGCAATTAAATAATGTTATAATTTTAGGCGTACCGAAGAGCCCCGAGAAATTCCAATAGCCCCACCTTACGGAATTGTTTTGGTGTGTAATTACACTATTTATACCTAATTATTTATACTTTTTATTTGTATTTAGCTATTTTCGTTTTATAGAGAAGAAAAAATTAAAGAGCTAAAAAGATAAAGAAGTTGTGAACGTCAAAGGACAATTTATCAGCGTCAGAGTTTTGAAGCAAAATGAAAAAAATAAAATTCAAAAAATATAAAACGAAACAGTACCAAAATCAAATGCTGAACGTCAAAAGTCAACGTAATGCCGAAAAATCTTACGTTGATATGTAATTTGATTTAATAATATTATATATTATTTAAAAACAAATTGTAATATATTCGTCAATATTATTTGACAGGAAAAGAGAAAAATTGAACAGTAATGATGAGAATGTCGTGCAATGTAGGGCTGCTGAAAATATAGAAAATGTAACGCTACAAGAAAATCAATTTCACAGTCAACAACTTCAAATTTGTAGCGAATGAATGCATTATTCCCGAAGTTATTCTACACACGAATACAGGAATTCCTGGTGATGGTAATTGTCTATTCCACTCACTTATAAGTGTGACAATTATGATAAAGATCCTATTGAATATAACCATAACAGTCATGAAAATGAAATTGAGATTGATAGAAGAGTAGACCAAATATGTGAAAATATCATGGATTTTATTGTAGATGGTACTATTTAGGTTTACACAAATTATCGTAAACACAGCACAAGTCATATTGATTTTTATAAAGACTTTACGAGTAACTCATTTGGTCATGCTTGTATTATTTGCGACCGACTATGGTGAAAAGAGACTTGAAAATGCTTGGTTTTGTATATCCGAAAATTCCATCACATTTACCAACCTTAAACCTTATCGAGCAATGATTGATTTCACCGAGAATACCGTTCATGCAGATTCGTAGATTGAAACACTCTAATGGTCAGTACGGTATTTATGGCCAGACAATTAATGTTCCTTTCGAAGTTAATACAATGGTGAAACAATTGCCAAGAAGCATTCAAGATGACCATTGCTTTTATGTGCATTTTAAAAAGAAGTTGATTCGCAGAACTAGTTAGGTCCACGAGCTTATTAATAAGAGCCATATTAGAGAGTAGTTGTCTAACTTAGTATCTACGCCTCTTTATATTTATCATGACATTAAAATCGATGAATCTTTTTTTACTCTCTACTCTTTTTAACTCTTTTGTGGAATGATTATCGATTATTTTTTGAGTCTAGCACCCGGTGAATATAACAGGCCAGTCAGTATTTGAATTCGGAAGAACTATCTTTATATACATCGCTGCTAAAATCATGAGGTTGCGAGTTTGTAGATGTGTCAACGTTGCGTTTAAGCATGTTTGACAAGGTACTTCAATTACGAAAGAAACCATTCAATCTGAAGAATATATAAATAATTGTTTAGAAACAAATCTCGCATTTCTTCGCGGCATACCAAATTCTGCTTGATTTTTCGTTCGGAGAAATTTAATTTGAAAACAAGAAAGGAAGGGCTAAGATCGGATGTAACCGAACATTTTATAGTCTCGCAAAGTCAAATGGTATACTCGTTTGGGGTCCACATATTCAGTACCTAGGGGCTTGAACAGTTTTGATTCGATTTAGACAATTTTTGGTCAAAAAGTGGCATACTTTAAACGTATTATTCACGAAAAGTTTTACGCCGATATAATCATTGTTGCTTGATTTGCATACTGGAAAGTGAAAACATCAGATGGAATTTAAAATGGTGTTAAATGGGAAATAGGCGTGGTTGTAATCCGATTTCGCCCATTTTCGTGCTATGATATAGAAATATGAGAAGAATATTATTACCGAATTTGGTTGAAATCGGTTAAGCTGATCCCAAGATATGGGGTTTCACCTAAAAGTAGGCGGTGCCACGACCACTGACTAATTTTGAACGTGGTTCCTATAAAATCATCTCATACCATCCCAGAGATAAAAATTTAATGTCTCTGGTTTGTTTAGTGCTTGATTTATCGCGCTTTTGGTAGTTTTTAACAGTGCTGTTATATGGGGAGTGGGCGGGGTTGTCACCCGATTTCACCCATTTTCACATCGTCGATAGAGATGCTAAAAACCTTTGCTCCCAGTGTTTTTTTTATTATGGCTTCAGTGGTATAAGAGATATGCACATTAAACCTATTAGGGGGAGGGACCACGCCCACTTAAAAAAAAAAATTTAAACTGCAGATGTCCCTCCCAAATGTGATCCTGTATACCAAATAAGATTCTTGTATCTTGTTGTGGAGCTTAGTTATGGCAATTTATTTGTTTTTGATTAATGGCGTTTTGTGGGCAATTCCGATTACATCCATCTGCAACACCAGCCGTCTTACGGTACCAAGAAACATGTGTACAAAGTTTCATGAAGATATCTCAATTTTTACTCAAGTTACAGCTTGCACGGACGGACAGACAAACAGTCGGCGGATTTCAACTCGTCTCTTCATCCTGATCATTTATATATATTTAACCCTATATCTAACTCGATTAGTTTTAGGTGATACAAACAACCGTTAGGTGAACAAAACTATTATACTTTGTAGCAACAGGTTGCGAGAGTATAAAAAGTAAGGAAGAGCTAAGTTCGGATGCAACGGATTATTTTAATAATTAGAGCAATCGTTCTTGTGTTTTGTTGTATACGCTTATAATTTATTTTATTTAGAATGAATTACATTTGTATTGAGGAGTATAAAAATAATTCGTTTTTTGACAATGAATAAGATTTTTTATTTATTTTATCGATATTATTATACATGTTTAGCTTAAAAATAATAAATATTAACAACTTTAAAAATTATATTATTATATTAATTTGTATATAATATTTACTATATTAAATATTTCTTTTCTCCTTATACTATTTAATTTCTATCATATATACAATAATATCTTATATAATAACAAATTACATATATAATTTATGTTTTCTTAATTATATTATTTACATATTTTTCTTAAAATTGTCTTAAAAACTACTGTCTAAATTGCTATACCATTTCTTAATATATATTTGAAAAAAAAAAAATTAAGAACTATTACAATAAGTCTGAAAACTTTAGTTAGAAATAGAGACACAAATACTGTCATGATAGCTGTGTACTGTCTCAAAAGTAATTGCATTAACATGGGAAGGATTGGGCATGTTTGAAAATGCCCAATCAATTTGTGTACCGGCAGGTGAATATTCTACACCCAGCAGGGAACTAAAGTTTTTTTCTAACTCAGAAGTAAGGACTTCCTGAAGTTCTACAATTAAATGTCTGACAGAGAAACTGAATTTCTGTATATTAATACTGAAACATTTAAACAAAACTGTTTCTAAAACTTTGCGGCCTGAATAAATTTTGTTTGCAGCCTTACGTTCTATAGAGCTAGCAATACTATGCTTTGCATATATTATAATGCCCAGTTTATTTCTGTTGCTTGTTTCTGTGCTATCTATCCTCAGCTCGTTAATTGTAGTAAATCCTGGTATATCAAAATTTTCGCACGGATAACCCCAAGTTTCTACAAAACAAAAAATATCTGAAGATAGCATCAAACAGTCGCTTTTTATATCATTAATGTGAGCATGAAGACTCTGAACATTATGGAATAAAATTTGATGTCCTGATGTTCGGGAATTCATAAAACTGAAACTTGTTGTCAGAGCTTTATTTGTGTTCAATTCCCTCAGTTCCTTAAATACAGGATCCGATCCGGAAATTTGTTAGGAGGAATAAAATTTCCTATCATAAATAGACCTTCTGCGGTAGTAGCTCGAATGCAAGCGACATAGGGCAGTCCCTGCGTTTCAGAAGTTTTGAAAAGTTTAACTCTTTCCAAAATATTCTCATTTCAGTTGAAAGGATGGCTTCAGTTGGGATTCGACTGAGCTTAAGGGCATTGAAATTATTTGTCCCTTCATTGGACCAAAATAAATGTATGGCATCATCGGGAACTTCTTCGAAATTAACTAGTCGAGTTTCAATGAGTGATATGTCCTCATTTGTCATAGTACCAGATGCTATATAGTTTAATTCAATTGCAAAGGCCTGATTCTCCCGTTGTCTCATTATTTCTGTTAATTCAAAGTATTTAAATAACTCCCACAAAGGGGCACCAACTAAAGTGCTGTATGCATCATTGGGATTAGGAGAGAATATCCACCTATCTCCTACAGGTGAGAGTTGCTTTAAATCACCAAACACGATGATCGGTATACCACCGAAGGGGCTATCTGTTTTGAAAATTTGTTTTAATCTTGCATCAACAGAGCTAAACATACGAACACCTGTCATCGATATTTCATCAATTATGATTAATTTTAAATCGATAAGTCTGGAATACAATGAATTAACTGTGTCATTGCTAAGCGGCCGCAACTCTCTATTCAACTGATTAACAGGTAAAGAGAATATTGAATGCAGGGTCATTCCACCTATTCCGAATGCTGTTTTACCCGTAGGTGCGCAAAGAAGAACTTTTAAGGATTTGTTGTTAGCTGGTGCGTCAAATGTGTCAAATAGGTTCATTGCTTAGTATTTAGACTTTGAACTAAAGAAAATAATTATTCAACTAGAATTAAAGGGGGTAGTTTAATAAGTCTAATATTGCAATCAGATTCAGTGCCATTATCTGTTGAATCTTCACCATGCAAGTCCAGCAAATTTATATTTGGGTTTATTTCTGGAAGTGCCAACACTCTCAACTCATTTTCCACTATAGGTAGTTCATTTTGAGCACCTTCCTCTAAGTCTATTTGATTATAAAGACTTTCTAGAACATTTTTAAGTTCTCTTTGCTCAAAAACAAAATTAGAATACATTGTGCTATGCACGTCTGCTCATTATCGTTTACAATGAGATCTTGCTGTTCATTCCGCCATGGATAGTAAAGCATTACCATTTCGCGGAAATACTGGCCAAATCTGGGTTAAACCTTCTATACCGAATAATACAAGGTTTGGTACGTTTCTTAACAAAACCGCTACCGTCTTTAAGAGGCATGACAACCCCGCTTTCTGGTAAATTATCGTCTTCCCTCTCTTCTTCTTCATGATCACTGTCTTGTGCTCTTCTACTAGATTTAAAATATTTATACCTAGATGCAAAATCAGCCAAACAAAGAGTTTCTAACTGATCGGATCTTTGAACATAACGGTCTAAAATACCGGCTACGAATATCTCAGTCGAACCTGAAGGAAGGTTCTGAAGTTCCGCTCTAGGTTTTACCATTCGAACACGTTCCTCAGGTCGAGAGGTATTTATATATATAATATATATATAATATTACTTGCTTCCGAAAGATGGAGCCCAATGCAGCAATACACTGCTTCGTGTGCAGATATTTCTGTGCTTGATATAAATTTGTGACCTATATGTTTAAGTTTTTGCTTAACAGTATAATTTCCAGCATTTATCTCTAATATAGCTTTATTTAAGAGCCTAGAAACTCCCCTGTTAGACTTGTTAATATAATTAATTATATATGAACAGCAAGCATATGCATCCTGTATATATTGGATATCCATATTTGCTCTATGGAGTTCCAAAATCAGAGGATCATAAGCGTTTATAAACCGATCCTGTAATTTTTTTTTAGAAAAATGTTGGGTTTTGTTAAACTTGATCTAAGGGCTAACAAATAGTCATCAAAAGACATATTTATTCTACTATCAGATAGGAAATGTTCAAAATCTCTTAAATTAGAAATTTTTCTGTAGTCATATTTGAATTTAAAAGGT